ATAACTAATAAGACGACAATATGTTAGAAAGTCATTCAAAAACATGCAACCCCAGAACGGTTTGTTTTCCTGAAAATCAAAAGTTTTAATCTTTAAAAAATTATTTACCACAGAAAGCATATAATATAATAAAATAAGTGTTTTGTGTTTGAACATCGTGTGATTGTAAAATAGGAAAAGTGTTTGAGTACGTATTGTATTGTCTTATGTATGTCAGTTTTAAGATATGTTGGAATAAATTTGAGATATATAAACCTAGATTTGTCTTACTCTCTAATTAGGATGGTTGGAATAACAAGTAAATATCAATGCCAATAGAATGACTGGAACGCCCTTCAAAATAGTGTTAAGTCCCACTGTTGTTATTGCAGTCATACCTGTATTCCTAAATGCTGTGTTTATATGGGACAAATCTTTTCAGATGTCTGTGGATATTTTGTAGAATCCGTTTAAACTATCATTTCTCTCAAACTCTTCTGATTTTAGAGATTTCAAGGTCATTCAATTCGATCATTGAATGAAAATTTGGGACAATTCTTATTAGTGTCTTCTAATTAGATGGCTTAGGAAGTCAATTTCTCCATAAAAAATTAATCAACGACAAAATGGTAGTCTCACATTGTTTCCGAGATTTTCTGGCTTATGGATTAACACCGAGTGAAATAGATCGGTGAGAAATTTGAATGTGTGACGGAATTAATACTTAGGATTATTACTGTTATGTCTGATGAATGCTTGACTGGTTCGTTCTTTTGCACCAATAAACTCGAGTCTGTCGACGCTTATTGAAAATACAAAGACTGGTTGTAAAGATTTATGTGAACCCGGAAATAAATCAAAATGTTACATAAATAAACTAGTTTGTGTATTAGTTTTAGGTTCGTTTGACGATCCGTTAACAATTATCACAGGGGAAATACACTTAACTACTACATTGAATTGATCCAATGAATGTTATCTTAAATAGACATCAAACTGAAATTAGTATTGTACTGGACAAAAAATCACATTGAAAATAAAACGAATACTACACTGAATGGAGTAAGCAGAAGTAGGGTTGGACAAAAATCACTATGAGTTAAAGGCATAATTTTGACTTTTCATTCCGTTATCTTAATTGCTTCTTAACATTCGTTCTAAAAATTCACCAAACAGTATCAAATTATAATGTAATTGACAATACAGAAAACATCAAATTTCTAACTTTTGGTCAAACTCTGTTTAAATTAAACTTTCAAGTGTTATTCCCAATTCCAACTTAATTTCTTCATCACGATACCTGAATTTTTTCTGATTGGATAGTTCGACATCATGGATTCGGAGATACCTCTTTGATTAACTACATCAAATAGGTACTTTCACACTGGATTTTTTGCAACATTTTATTACCAAACTTTCTTCTATTTATTGTCATTGTCTCACTTCACTTCATTTGATTGGGTTCAAGGTACTTCAATGAGGCTATAGTGTGAAATCAGTTAGAACTATGATCAGTTTAGGGACGTGGGTGAATGAACAGGCTAAAATAACTGACTATCTTCGATTTCGAATTCTATTTTTCAAATATGTCAGCTCAAAGTAGAAAAAACAGTTCTGGAAAAATGATTGAGAAGCATCACTCATGAATCCATGAGGAACTAACTCAGTGTGTAGTAGTTTGGATGAATTATTGGTAAAATATTAGTGTGTGCGAAAAGTGTTGTAAATGCACCGAATATTATTTATCAATCATTTTCAACCCACCTATATGTCAATTATACCGAATTAGCATAATTCATATTCTGGAAATTTTTCTTCTACCATTGGATTATGGTAGTCAGAGGGTGGCTAGACTTACTAATTTTTTAAACGATAATCCCAGGGTGGTCATTTGAATAGATGTGATTTCGTTTATATAGCACTTCTAGCTGTATTTTAAATAGTCTGTTCAATTCGATTTTGCAAGTAGAAGTACTTTATGTTACATTAAAATGTCATGTAGGTTAGACTGGTTTCTAACTTTGTCGAAATGTAAGAAACCTTTCATCTCACGCTAATCAACTTAACAACTAGTCAGCCAATGTTGTCACATGACTAGGATTCGATTAGTTCCTTAAGAATATATTTTGAATAGATTCACCAAATATTTTTATGTAATGGTATGAGACTGCAATAAGACGTGAATATGGTAAGTACTCGGGGTTCTTAATCGGAAATGAATAAATATTTCAAGTAATGTGATTCACATTTACCTAGTAAATCACATTGAGTAATTATATAATGAAATATGTACTAAACAACGACAGTTATTAGTCATATGATAGAAGCCTTCTTTTGTTTCAAATTTCATATATCATCTGTAAAAGCATGGAATAAATTTGGTTTTTTGTTGAAGTCGAAATTATTTTTTTATTTTATCATCAAATGCTCAGACCGATTACATTCAGTTTGTAGACAATATTTAGGATTTTCTTATGCATTCATACAAGTTAGGTGTACCCATTCATACAGTACCTTACCTAAATTTTTATCTTCGATTGAAGTAGTGAGTAAACTATTGGAAAGTCTGTGGTGCATGAGTAATGTGTCCATTACAGTTCATATTCATACACAAAACAGTAGATCTGAACTTAGACGAAAATACATTAGTGACTGTTTTATTGGAATCAGAATGTTGCTAGGTGCAAATAAATTCTGTAGAAATATCCCTCAATCGTCCAATATCCAGGCGATTTGTGTGTATATTCAACTTACAGTTAAAAGGTCTAACTTAAAGCTATTGTAATCAGATTGAAGAAAAGTCATGTGCTTGTTGAGTTTCAACAAGTGGATTTATATAATGACAATTCCATTTTAGTTTTCAATGAACACATAAGCGAGCAGAACAACTCCAACATTAACACTCGGAGGAGTTATTGTAACCTGTAGTGTCGGTTGCTATGTCAAGCTCACGTAGCTTATTTTGGCTTCCGGGCAAGCCAATTTATTCATTCTACTTGAGTCATATTTTGACCTTGTTAGTCATTTGCTTATTAATTCTGACTGTTTTTTATATGAGCGTATATGTGTGCACTTCTTATCCTATTCATCACATATCTGTAACTTACTTTTGTTCGACTATAAATACCGATTCGTGCTAGGCTAAATTGAGTTGGCTCACTCGGCTTCTCCACCAAACATCATTTCGCTTCAGTCTTTTCGCTTCGTTTCTCCGATCGTTTGTCTAGATCAACGGTTGTATGAAATACACGTATTCGGAATCCATTCTCGTATTTGACTTATTTAATTCTGTTGTTCACCAACGCGATTTAATTCGACAACTATATACGAGGGTAGCTGGGATGTATATATCGATAACAATCATTTACACGATCATTCAGGAGTCAGATTAAGGGCCATTAAAGACCTATAAAAATCACAAGTCACCAATAATATATTATTTTTATTAACTTCATCAAAGCTTTTAGTAAAGTTTCACACCAACTTCTCATCTAAGCTAAACAATATTCGAATTGGATATGTTCTGTAGTTATAGAATAATTAGTTTTTAGTTGGTTGATGACGAGGTATCAGAGTCACTTCTATGTTATTCATTTCTAAGTTATGATTGATAACTACTCTTCAAGACATTAATCAAGTGTTGACCTTCATGATTAAGCGCATCGGAAAACGTATTTTTCGCCCAAGTGAAATATTTGTATTGATATCAACGTCAGGTTACCCAGTTCACAACCTCACAGCAACCTAGAAATGATTGTTTCTAAAAACTTACAGACTACTACACGTTGCTATAAATTTATAGCTAGGGATTTCAAATGCTATAGAGAATACGATAGTTGTTGAAAAGACGTCTGTGACATGAACCGGATTCCTCTATCCAAAGCTATACAAGCGACTGCTCCACACGATACTTAGCACTTGGAGGTGACACTAAATGTTCACACAACCATAAGAAAAATGATTCCAACGGTCTCCAGATCTCGCAGAGAAATGTTAAATAGACGAACATTATTGCTATCGTGGAAGTAAAATAATCTTTTGGCGATCTAGGTGAATATGTTTGGTCCTTTAAATAACTATTTCAACTCTGATGCGTTCTTTCTTATCTTTCACTTATGAAACCACTATGAGCATATCTTCCAATCTTGTTGAGTAACTTGTGAGCATGAAGACTGGTTTTATTATTAGCTCTTATTGTTACTAAAATAGTGATTGATTTGGTATTCATTTCACTCATTTGTTTTCTTTCCACCATTGCATTATAAGAAATCCTCAATTTGTTATCAGATTATACCGATTTTGTCTGACTAGTTTATCACTTCAAACTAAATGACGTCAATAATGATGTTAGTATGTTTGTAAGAGTTGGATAAATTGATTCATATAATAAGCGGAAAGTAGTTGGGGGATGGCTGATAGGGTCCGTTACGATCCTCGGTTCGACTTGTCGCAATATTTAGTCGATTCTCAATGGCTGACCGAACTGGCTGTACTAAGTGAGAAGACCAAGGATGTGTAGGAATCTTAATCCAAAAAGTGAGATCAAAATGGACTACACTCGGAGTTAATATCTGTGTCTTCATTGACCCATACACGAACTTGTACGTTGTGACATTGTGATGATTTATAACTTACTTACAATCAATATTACAGATGAATTAATCTCAAGGTGTGTGGTGTTTGTAGGAATCACTTTATGTTGATTGGAGAAGATAATTCAACGGCTACTATTATGCTTAAAAGTAACTTCCTCATTCACACTTCATATTCTGAGAAATAGAACCGAGAAACTTAAAATATTGGCGTTTATTTGTGTTCACCCTTTGTTACCCATCTATAAGACCCCGAAGCTTCTTAATTACTGAACAGTAATTCAATGTAATATGTGTTGTCGAGATAACAATTTACTGATCAGAAGTTCAATTCATTGCTTTTAAGTAGGCCAAAACAACATTCCAATCTAGTAATTTCTTTTTTGATTTATAAATTACGGCACGTGATATAAAAATAAAGTACATCATATGAGAATTATTACAATATCAATAAATTGGCCTTTTGTTTTAAATGAGATTACAACTGATAACTCTAGAAGCGATTTAGAGGATGGAGGTTGTTATGGTGATCCGTACAAAACTGATCTTCATAGTAATAATAATAATACAGACAAGAATGGTAAAGATTTGTACTATGTTGGTGTGTGCTATCTAAAAATTGCAGACGAATAGGAAACTGGAAAGTGTAGCTCTGAATTAAACAAGTCCATTTTGTCAGAGATCATAGCTTTTTGAATCTGTTTTTTATCCCCCAACATTTTACTTTAAGAAAAGCATTCAGTTGACTTTTGTGCAGCAATATTCATGATTTATAATATGTGCTTGGTATTATTGCGCTAGACTGTAAAAAAGCCTGTTTAGTAATAACTGTTTAAAGTTTATACAGTACAATATAATGCTAAGATAGTAAAAATGAAACCAAGGCATACTAGAAAAGGCGTTAGAATCACGGAAGGATTGTTTCTGTATGCAGGATTCATGCTCAAATTAGTGAATTTTTAACACTATGTTTGTTAATTTGACTATTATCTTTCATTTTCTTGATCCGTAAATTGTTTTCATTATCCTATTTCTTTGCTAAGATTTAGTCTGTTTAGGTTGATAAAAGAAAGCTTGATAAATAATATGTATTTGTTTAAAGCTCCGACCTCTTTCTTCATAATAAATTGAATGTATTCGAATAGTTAAATAAACTGAAAATTTTAAGATATAATGAGTGCTTTTGTTCTACTTCCCTCGAGTTCACATTATTTAAGCTGGACCGGTTTGTGCTTAATTGGATTGGAAAAATATTCCGCTTCAGACTTTCTTAGACATTTCGAATTCGACAAACTGTTAGAAATCACGGTTATATGATGTTTTAAGTAGTATTGAATAAATCATCAGTTTTTAAGCCTGGAACATTTGAATTGAGCGATTAGTAAGGTAGAAAGGTATTACTATTGGGCAAAACACTTTCCTTTTGAAAAATATGTGATATTTAAACTCGAAACACCATGGTACAATGTGAGCTACATCACTGCAAATGGTTTATGTTAACCGAAACTTCTATCAGGAAATCATGTGATACAGTTTATTCCTTGTTAAGAAAGTTCCGAAATATGACTCTTGTTTGATCATTCTACTTGAGTTTTCTTGCTAATTATTTGTTTTCATTGACCTTAATAAAGCAAGTATTAGTCATCTATAATACTGATGCATTTGTTATAAACACATACAAAACTATATATAAATCTTTAATTTTCATCGGATACACCTGTTGTGGGACTTAATAAATTTAGGTTTGAATTATATACGGAGTTGACTAGCAAGGTGATATAAATTACGACAAAAAAGTTGTTCAGTACCTCCTCGCTTAGGATCGAAATTACTTTAAAATTGATCAGTTTATTCAACAAACCCTAAACTACTATAGATGTAAAAGTCGTATTTGAATAATTTCAGCGTTTGAGATTCAAAGAATCATGGTGTAAAAATTTTCACGTCAGACTGTGTCTTCATCTTACTACAAGCAAAGTGAACATAACTAGACAGGTTTCAAGTGTGATGTTTTTGTGTATTTACCTATTTCATGGTAATATTGATTTTGATTATTATTCCCTCTGAAGAAGTTCGGACGAGTTTTCCGAACGAAACGCTGGAATTATTTCAATTCCAATCACGAAAATTATTCAAATACATTTACATTTAATTTCTCCTCTATACTGGGTGCCCAATTTATATCAACTTGTTCTTTCCTATTTTGATGAATGTCTGTGAAAACAATATATATATATATATATATATATATATATATATATATATATATATATATATATATATATATATATATATATATATATATATATATATATATATATATATATATATATATATTCCATTTAGTGACTCGATACCAATAAATTGAGAAAAAACATGTGTTGAAATGAAATCAATTCATGCATGGCTAACAGGAGAGAATGTGCTCAGAAGCATGGGACTTTCAAATATTTCCTTATTTAAAATAAAGTATTCCCATAAATATATTTAGGTAGCTAGATCACACATTCCTAAGTGTTTACGATTAGGAACTTCTTGAGAATTGTCAACAATGACTGTCATGGATTTAAGAAAGTTGGAACGTGGTTGGGAGTAGAAGTTATGATACCTGTCATGTCCTCTTTAGAACCCAGCTGAACATATCGCACATAGAGATCCGAACTCAACATCTGTCACTCCAAACATCGATGCGTTATCCGCTAAACTATGGAGTCTAGATAGTCACTGAATCGTTCAGAGGGTAAGAAATCGTGTGTAAAGCATCATAATTTCCTGTTGTTGATATTAAAGACTGAAATTAATCGGCATCTAGTGATAAATACGTATCTGAGTGGGTTACCGCAACCCTTATTTTATTTTATGGTGTTTACATTATTTACAACATCCATGGAGTGGGTTTTAGTGGGTAACCTTCATGAAACATGAAATTAGATCATAAAGAAAAATACACTGCTTATCAGTACTCTTATTCCCCGGTTTGGGGTTGTGGAAATTGTTGGATTTCATTGAAATTATGAACTGATCGATGTTAGGCCACCATCAAAAACTTGAAAGCACTGCACAGCCGTTTCGTCCTAATATGGAACTCTTCAGATCTGCACATCCATGATCCTGCCTGTGGGACCCGACACTGTACTTTCGTTTTCGCTCACGAACACTTTACCTCTAATCCACTGAGCCGTTATCCATCCGTGTTGGTGTCTGGATTCAACTTATCCACAACGGTGCGCATGGATTGATTGAATTTAGATATTAACACTTCTGGATACAGGTTCAGTGGTCTAGATTCTAAGCGTTCAGGATAGAACGAAGATCCTTGGTCCCATACTAGGACGAAGTTTCCATCCAATGCTTCAAGATTTTCAATGATATTTCATGATTTGAATGACTTTTGTTTCTGCTATAAGAAGTAAATATGTGTCGTACTCAAAATAATGTGTTCAGAGTGGTTATTTTCAAAGTATTTTTCAGACTTTATGAACAAACGAGAGAAATAGCGTCCAGTATTCAATAGAGTGTATTAGGTAGTTGACAGGAAACCTGGTCAACACATCACTATTATGCCACTTGAGGCGACCCGAATAGAATAATCTGTCTCATCTAGATAAATAATTGGATATGATCAGTTACATTTAAGTTTAATAGCAACGGTAATAATAATAATAGTAGCAGTATTATTATTAATAGTACTAATCACAGTAATAGTATAATTCTTATTTTACTTGAAAATTACACTACTTAAGAGTAGTATAAGTGAGAACAAAAATAATGCAGAATAACAGTTCCCATAGTAATTTTGTGAACGGTCTGTTAGTCATGCTCACTATTAACGCTCTGTTTTGTCGTACACAAGGTTAGGAATGAAGTTAACCTAAAGTTATGTACCTACAGAAAATATGAGTTATTGATGTGAAAACTATTGTGTACATGTAAAAGCACACAATTAATTGGGAGACAACATTACATAAAATATTCTAAGTTGTTAGTGTTATGATGGAAATCTATGTATATTGTTCATCAAGAGTTTAAAGTATAAATTTTCGATTGAATAATATGTTTCTAAAATGTCTCAGGTATAGTTGAGATTATTACGTGTAGTGTGGTGTGTGCTAGTGATGTCGAACAGATATATGTAGTATGTATCACCAATCGAAAGTAGATTGCCTGACGGTAGAAGGTTGAGAAGTTCGAAGAGAAGAGAACGAGAGCAAAGAGTGATTGGTGCAGAAACGAAGGAATAGCAAAGTCTGAGACAATTGATGGATATTTTGCAAACGAAGTATTTACTGTGTGGTTCTCAGATTTTATCAAGATATCCTGTAGTGTTATATTGAAATACATTTAGTTATCTCCGTCAATGTCGTTGTTCACTACAACAGCACCTTTTTCTGCACATTGTTATCTCCGGATATTTTATTTTGTTCCTATTTAAGCTTGAAAATTAATTTCATAAAACTTAGTTTGTCGTACGAACGCTTGTTCTGACAAATTAATTTTAGTTAATGTTCATGATGCATGTTGAATTGGGGGATGTGCATTTTTAAACATTTATATATGTATTATATAAGGGCAACTGGTATTATAAGATAACTATGTTTTGTATATTCAATATTCACACTATAATTTGGGTACATAGGTATTTTTCTCTATTATTAATCATCCGTCACAATATTTGGCTCAAGGTAGTATTTACCTGTTTCTGATTTTTTTTAATGCAAAGGTGAAAGTCCTCATTCAAAGCTTTTACACGAACCAAATAGATTTCCGAGTTATAAGAAATGTATGAAGTTAAATTTTATCCATTTCTATGTAAAGTGTATGTAAAGTATTCCACTAATCTTTAATACATGCTGGAAACCCTGTGAATTGTTCGCGAGGAAAATCATTTTTAGGATTTTTCTCTAACTCACCTTCTACGTCAGCAAAGGAGCTAGTATAAGTAATTTTGGGCTTAGGTCATTTGGTTGATTACTACTTCTGTAACGTCTTTACATGATAAGTCACATTCTGTGTAATGATTTTCACTATATAATGAAGCACGTAAAAACAGCGAAAGTGGAAGAGTTTAAATTCAATCACTGAATATATATCACATCAATCAAGACCCAAAATATACTCAATATACTTCATTAAACTTATCCTACCATTAAAAAAGTTATTCATAACTGATTGCCATCGATACATTTTGCACATCAACCTCATCTTGAACACATTGACAAAGACCGTTTAAAACTTGTAATAAAAACATCAGTATTCTGGTCTTGGAAATCGCTTTATTAATATCAATTCTCACAGTGGAGCCTACATTAAATCATTTACTCTTTCTCTCGCCAAATACCTGAGTTTAGAAATAACCAGTGAAAAGTCATTATTTGAGAGAGGTGCTAGTGATGAGTAATGAATAATGTATGTTTAAGCGTTTGTTAGGTTTGAGTAGAACTTCGTACTGAGTATGATGTAGATATCACAGATTGACTTTGGTTAATGATGGACACTTGCATTAGTACTCGGCATTGAAATAAATTATCCGAAACAGTAATTTCTAACTCGTTCTCAAGTGTGGTTAATACAAATCGCTTGAGATTTCCTCAAAGCATAGATAAAAACTATTTACATTATCTAACTATCATTGT